AAGGTATTCTATAAGAAGAGGAAGAAGAAGAAAAAGGTAAAGATAAAAATTATGAACAACAAATACATACCTTTCAACAAATGAATCTAAAAATGAAGTGAATAAAAAATCTGATGAACAGAATAATCTGGTGAATATAATAGAATCAGGGGCATAGAATCAGGGAGTGGACTGACAATTCTTGGGGGAAAAGGGTGTGGGGGATGCGGGAAGAGACTGGACAAAAATCATACAACTATGGATGAGGACAGTGGGGGAGGTAAGGGCAGAGGGTGGGGTGGGAACTGGATGGAGGGGAGCTATGGGGGGAAAAAGAGGAACAACTGTAACAATCTGAACAATAAATATTTAATTTAAAAAGTTAAAATAAGATAGAACTTTCTGAGCAGAAATGGGCTCCTCAGAAACCAACGTTTTTGTGCAGTCAAGTTATCCTGACAGTGAAGCCCAAAGACTATGCCATGAGTGCTAAAGGCGTTTCCAACCTCCTTTTCCTTTTTTAAATTCATACCCAAGGATATTTATTGATTTTAGAGATTGAGGGAGAGGGAGAAAGAGAGCGAGAGAAACAGAGAACACCAGTGAAAGGGAAACGTTGATCATTTTCCACCTATATGTGCCCTGACCAGAGATCAAACCACAACCCAGGTATGTGACCCAGCAGGGATCTGAACCCGCAACCTTTTGGTGTAAGGAGGATGCTCCAGGCAACTGAGCCACTTAGGCAGGGCCAGATAACAAATCTTTTCAGCTTTGTGGGCCTTACTGTCTCTGTCACCACTGTTTCACTGTAGTTGTAGAGTGAAAGCAAGCCTCCATAATATATGATTACATGTACATGGCTGTGTGACAATAAGACTTTATTTGCAAAAAGAAGTACTGGGCCAGATTTGTTCTGGAAATTGTAGCTTGTCAGCCATGTTACATCTTATTTTCTGAATTAGGAGGGAGCAGGACCTAGACATCAACTAATTCCCTTCAGTACTTAAATTTCAGTGATATTAGATTCTTTGCTCGTGGCAGAGGTACCATTTGCCAGAAGATCCTTTCAGGTTCAGCTATCCACACCCACATGTTATTCAGTTGTGCAGCTAGGCAATTACAATGGGAAAA